CTGCCCTCCTTTCAAAGCAATTTGGCAGGACACGAACCTTTTTGTGTACAGCCCAGAAAAAAGTACAAAAGGAACAAGCCTAGTAACAAATAAGGGAACCAGCCTTGGACCCCATCCAAAACAATACAACAAACCGACACACAAGAACAAATTAAGAACACAGAGATCTTTGTTGATGTATCTGCTTTAGCAGGGCTGCGTTACAACCGTGCCAGAGACAAAGTGCTGAACGTTTTTCAGTTTGGGGCAGCTTCCCGGAGTTTCTAGAAGCGCCTTGTGCCACTCGGAAGACGTGCAAGTCTCACCTTTTCGAACCTTTTAAGTGTAACTTCATACGCAAGCTCAGCATTTGCCTCGATGCCAAACTTAGGCTTCCCTGCCTCACCAAAACCATACCTGCAACAGAGCACAATAACAAAGCTTCAGAGGAAAGGGCATCTTCTGATCCATTCGGCATGCTGAATATTCACACTCACAAGGCGATAGAAGTGGGAAGCTGCACGCCGGACCCTGGAGACAAACTAGATGCAGAGTCAGGGAAGACCGTGCCAAGCATCCCGTCTGTGGCAACGTCGGTTTTAGAAATGGGATTGGATTCAACAGTATTCCCGCAGCCGTCAGACAGGATACAATCTCCCTCACTTATAGTTATTATTTACCCCAGCTGATCTTCCTTCAGCTCTGTCTTTCAGCTAATTGAGCATTTCCGTGTTCTTGAAATGCTGAGCTTTGAGCAGTGTGCGTTTCTCTGCACCTCTGAACATCGTGCTATGTAAAAGATAAGGACCTAAATTTTCTATTTTAGGCACCTATTCCTTGGAACCAGAGTTTGGCATTTTCCCCTGCATTTAGACAGGTAACTAGATCTTCCCTGTTCCCTCAAATCGCTTGGCTATGCCAGGAGAGGACTGTTTTACTCCATAAGGATGAAGGGAAGGTATGCTCTAACTTAGAATGATTGGGGCTACGTGTAGATATTGCTGTCATCAGCCCTTGTGGGTAATTCGTGGGAGATGTAAGAAGGCAAAAAAAAGCATTTGGTACAAGCAGCAGTTTTCACAAATAGTGACGGATGCATTTCCTGCCATTGTTACAGGTTTTAGATATCTGACCAAGAGCAGTTTTTCACAGCTCAGCTTTTCTTAATCCTGTGACTGAGACACAGGTTTTATGAACAGCATAAGCAAGCTGAAGTAGAATAGAGAAAGCATCCAACAGGCAGATAAACCCTTTTTCACAAAGGTGCAACAATCCCCTTGTCAACATTTCTGGACACTGAAAACATCAGTTTACATGTCTGGGTGGCTGCACCAATGGAGAGCCAAAGGGTGGGGAACTTGAGAGAGGACGCTACGTAACAGAAATGTCCTTTTCCACCAGCTCTGCGTAATACACCCTTTCATTTTATGACTTTAAAATTGGACTAAAGCAGTGGTTCTCAACCTTTTTAGACCCAAGGCACCACTTGTCAGACTCAAGAAACCCTTTGGAAAATGCCCGCTCTTCGTTTTCACTCGTTTTTTGACTACAGAAAAATAACAGAGCAATTTTTCTATAGCAAAGAACTCAGAAAGACCACAACAGGTCAGAATGTTTTTAACACTACAGATGCCTATTTGAAATCTCTGGGTTTATCTTGTAAATCATGCTTGCATGCCTGACAGTGCTAACATTGTGCGGCACACCTTTGAAAGGATGTCAAGACCCCCCCAGGGTATTGCACTACCTTGCTTGAGAATCACTGGTCTAAAGACACTGGTCTAAGTTTTCAATTGTGGCTAATTATTTTTACCGCTTCCATTTCTGGGCTCCCAAACTGAGACACCACTAAAGGACTTTGATTTTCAGAAGTCCTGCACACCTGTTTTCTAAAAATGTTAAAGTGCCATATATGATGAGCACCTAAAACCCAGGTGTCCTGGATCATTAGTGGTTTTCCAAAAAATGCAGGCCCACACATGCCATTTCAACTCTGCCAAGAGATGCATTTTAACACGGAGAAAGAATCTGATCTTTTTTTTTTATTTGTATCCGAGGCCAAATTAGCCAAAACTAATTCCAAATCCATGAGTGAGAACCATAAGTGGCCCTACTGCCGGCAAACATCCTCCACCCCCACCAGGGGCTTCAGATGTTGCCAAAACCTTTGGTGGGCGTCCTACTTGCAGGCCCAAGCCTAGAGGCTTGGGGTTCAGATGCCCCCAAGTTTTGCTTGCCCTCAGCCATAAGGCCCTTGGAGCAAGCAAGGAAGGAGACTCCAAAAGTACATGAAGACGTAAACACCAAACAGAATAATACTTAGCTGGCCAAGTCTTTCCGGTGACTGTCTCTCTTCTCTCTCAGATCGCGATGAACAGTCTCCAAGCATAATACACAACTAATGGAAAGCAAAGGAAAGTTTCTTACCGTGGTCCAAGGTACAAGATACAGTGCTCTCCCCGCTGCATTTTCTCTAGAGCTTTATCAATCCCAATTGGAATGTCATGGTCTTCCCCTTCTCCGACAACAAACTTTACATCTCTGGAGTCAAACTTTCTGTCACCGTAAAATCCTTCCAGATGGACTATTGGGATGGAAGAACATACACATTTAGTTAGGGCCAAGCAAAGCACCGTCAATCAAGACATCCTGGCTCCCATTTTTCCAGTGTAATGATACAGCAGTTAGGTGCCAAAGCAAGTGTATCTAAATTATTCCCTGCACGTGGTAACTGAGCTGTTTGAAAATTTAGGCATGCATTTTGCCTCTGGATTTAGCCAATTTGAGACTTGTCTGAGGGTCCTGATCAAGTTCTCATATATGATTCGTGTCCAAGGTGCATTCCCTGTCTTGCTGAAGGGGTGGGCTAGGGTTGATCCCTAGACCAAGTTAGTGCCAAGAGACCTGTCCCAACAGAATTAAGCAACCTAAAAATATGATCGCAAAAAACTTTAATAAAACTCTTAATTTGTAAGCACAGTAAGTAAATACAGAACTAGGTAAAAACCCGCATTATTACAACGATAACCAATAAGCTACTGTTGAGCCTGGACAAAGGAAACGGTTACATATTATTAAACAGATGATGGGTAAAATAGTTACAAACAACAATAATGGTTAAAGACTTTGAAAAGGCTACAACTAACAAAATGATCATAAACCTGAAACACTGACAAGTGATCAAATGGTTTCAAACCTAAAAATTACAAAATAATCAATGGGTTAGAAACCTAAAACAAAGAAAAATGACAAGAAGAACAAAACAGGGGCGTTGTCATCTCTAAACTAGTCAAGCTCTAAAATATGCAGCTCACTAATAGGTGGCCAGCCTGACGGGGCAGAGATCTTCCCCATGTTTTTAAAGGCTGAAGAGACAGGGTTGGGGAACAGCTGCAGGTGGGACCGCCTGTTCAAACTGCAGTTAAGAGGACGGAAGCCGTTTTAATGCCAATATCAAAAGCAGATCTTCTATTTGATCATGTTGTGAGTCAGACCAGAGCCTAAATCCTCTCACTTCCCTGTTCTTGGGCCTTCTCATCACCTTTAGCCTAGTCCTATACTTCTCTTGCCTAGGACACTGCCTTGCCTGTTACCAGTTCCTCAAATTTTATTTCCCTCAGCCTAACTGCTTGACGTTACTTGGCCTAGTTTATCCTAACCTACTCCTTTAAAGCAGCCTAAAGCTTAATGAAATCTGTAAGTGTCTGCTTGACACTACGTAGTCATGCAGAATTAGCCCTTCATAGAGAGAAGAGGGTTAGACGAAGGGTTCAAAAACAAGCGATATCAAAGATACTCTAATCCAACGATGCTAAAAATGCACCTACAGTCTGAGGACTGGACACCAGATAAATGCAATGACTACCACACTCCTCTCGTCCTAAAGTGGGCTAGCACTAACTGCAACTCCATACAGTTTGTTGGCACTCTGCCACAGCTTCATTGTGATTAGAAAGTCTCTATATAGAGCTATAAGCTTGTCCTATACTTCAGACAACAGGGACATGGCCCTTCCTGCTAAAAGCCTGAAGTGCAAGATAAACATTTTTAATCTTTAAGCAATAACAACTCAGGTCTATTTTGGGATGGTGACATAAATACGGTCACAGAAGACAATAGCAGGTACAAGCACATTTGCCACCTGATGCTTCTGGCTGTGTTTCTAAAGAAGTGTCCTTCCTTATTTATCAGGTCCTGTGGGTATTACTGCTCCAGGACACAACCTATGTCCTGTTTCCATAGCATAAATTATTTGTAAATGAAGAATAACCTCTTATAAGCAACCTCCCAAGTGTTTTAAACGTCTGTTACCTACCAGGACTATCTTTTCAAGGTTTCCAAAAGCATGCCAAAAGCCCCGCAGCCATTGAAGACCCGGGTTTGCCTAATATAGCTGCAGCGGCATTGTAGGCTTCACTTTGCAGTAGTCTGGGGAAGACTGTGTCTTAATCTATTTGCAGTACAAAAGTTGAAAATAAAAAATATTCTGCAAAAGTAGTAAAGCCCAGGAGAAAAGCTGTCTTCATTTCGTAGCTGAGTGTGGAGCAGGGGTGGCCAAAATGCAGCCCACGGGCCGGATGTGGCCTGCCAGGCCATTCTACCTGGCCCACGGGGCCCCCCAAAATTATGAAAATTAATATTAATCTGCCCTGGTTGCCTGTCATGTGGCCCTCGACGGCTTGCCAAAACTCAGTAAGCGGCCCTCTGCACAAAATAATTGCCCGCCCCTGATGGGGAGTGATAGACCTGTAAGGACCCACACACTGCGGAAAAGCATGAAACCCCTGCTCATCCTACATTCATATGCTCTGCGCTCTTATTTGTACCAAAATATGAAAGATCACAAATGCGTTTAAAAAAAAAAAATGTTACTGGGATTTGTAAAGTCTGCAGGCTCTAAGGACCACATAAGTTTACAAAGGGTTTCAACTCATTCACAATTTACACAAAATGCAGCCAGACTGTAGCATCAAGGTAACACGGCGAGGGTGTCTTAGAAACATTTAGGGGTCTATTATTTTATAGGAAGACAGAATAACATGTAGTCTGGGAGAAAAAGAATAGGAAAATTTACTTTCCTTGGGTCAGGCAGGCACAACTTCTCCCTGAATACAGCTATTGACTGTGGGCCCCAATTCTGGTTGGAAGGTCACCCTCTTCCTCCCCAGAAACACCCTTATACCAAGTCACACTGTACAGGGAGGACAGTCAAAAGATGTTCTGACATTATCAAAACCCTTCAGGGCACATCTTACACCATCGTTTCTGTCCAAAACTAGAACAGTCAGCAATGTGCAACAGCCCAGCTCCAAATTAATTAGAGCAAGGGGACAAGCTGTGTGTGACATGTAACAGGGATTTGAGCGCTGCAAGAGAACTACAGGAAATCTGTAAACTCTTGGCTTATCCAGCTGCAGCTTTACACAGAGTGAAATGAAAGAGGAACGAATGGTTGTAAAAGTTCAGTTATTCCAATACTGACCTACATCATCCTCATGCTCTCCCCCTCCGCCAGCTAACTTATTTATAAGCAGCAAAGCAGAACATTGAGCCTGAAATCCAGTGATGTAACAACTGTACAGTGACATGTAAGTCCCCCTCCTACTTCTTTACCCAGCACTTGCCATGGAGCAAAGACCCAGCCTGCTTTACATCTATAAATCACCAAGCTTTGGTGCTGTACATACAAAGAAGGAACCAATAGGTGAAAACAGGATGGAGGGGGAAGCTCCTAGTTCAGGGGTGGGCAAAATGTGGCCCGCGGGCCAGATGTGCCATTCTATCCAGCCTGCGGAGCCCCTAAAAAATTTAGAAAATTATTATTTATCTGCCCCTGGCTGCCTGTCATGCGGCCCTCGATGGCTTGCCAAAACTTAGTAAGTGGCCCTCCGCCCAAAATAATTGCCCGCCCCTGTCCTAGTTACTGCAGTTTCATGCTCTATGTTAGAGGGAAAGTTCAAGTACTGAAAGGAATGCCCTAGTTCCCAAATCCTTGCTTTTACCAGAATAGCTGCAGGACTGCAGGGAGGATGGGGGTGTGATATACCTGTGATCTGAGCTGAAAAAGCTTTATAATCAGCATACATGTGGCATGAGACTTCCAGTTCCACCCTTCACAGACGAGTTAGGCTACAACAGTTTAAACCCCCCCCAAGCAGAGTCGTTTTATTCAGTTTTAATTGTGTGTAAATATCATGACAATGGGGGAAAGTCAACTGTTCCATTTTCCAAGTGCATTTAAGTGCTATCTAAAGCAGATCGTTTGGATACGGTTACACTTGGATTACACAGCACGAAACCCCAGCCAGGCTGCAGAACATCACTTCAGCTGCAGCTCTGACTTATTGTTCTCGCAGTGCCTAGAGCGATTTTGTTTTGAAGAGCGCAGAACACTGTGTTCTGAATGTGGCTGGCACATGAACTTGATGTGCTGACAGCAATTTGTACTCAGATTAAAACGAAGAAAAGGCTGTAACAAAAGCTGGAATGCAAGGATTCTATGGCAGCCTGTGTTTTAGGAAGCAAAATTGTGAATTACAACCTATAAAACTCAAACCAATAATGCAGCCTTCAAAAATCCAGCTCAGAGATGTTAGCTCTGGTAAGTGCACATTTTCTCCCGGTCCAATTATAGCAGTGATGTCAGTCACCTTTGTACTATTTTCTGAGTTAATGCTCTGTTTTAGGAGAAGTGAATGGAGATTCTCTCAGAGTAAAAATGTAGCTGCTAGATTTTACCACCTGTCTGGCTTCAGAATACCTTGTTAGGATACATCATTGCTGCTCCTTTGGTTTCCAGACACTATTTTTATGTCAAGTCAAAGGCCTGTTCCCATTACCTTGTGCTTGACTTGGAGTCTTGAGAATGGTGCACTCAGAGGTGGGTAGGCCTTCATACACACACACACACACACACACAAATATCTATATCTATACACACATATCTATATCTACACACACACACACACATATCTATATCTATACACACACACAAATATCTATATCTATACACACACATATATCTATACACACCTATATCTATATATATCTATACACACACACACAGACATACATATCTATACCTATACACACACACACACATCTATACCTACACACACACACACACACACACACACATATCTCTCTCTCTCTCTCTCTCTCTCTATATATATATATATATACACACACACACATATATATACACAAAAATCAAAACAAGTGTAGGGGAAGAGGCCATGCATGTGCACACGCACACATCTTCAGCACCTGACCTCCAGCAACTTGCTTCCAGTGCTGACTGTGCTGGGATGTAACCTTATTTTCCACATACACACACACATATCTATACACACACACACACACACACATCTATATCTATATCTATACACACATACAAACACGCACACATATCTATCTATACACACACACAAACACACACACATATCTATCTATACACACACATCTATATCTATACACACACACACACAAACACACACACACATATGTATATCTATACACACATACATATATATCTATACACGCACACACAAACACACACACACATATGTATATCTATACACACACACATACACACATATATAGCTATGCACACATATATAAACACACACACATACAGATAGATCTATATATCTATTGATAGAAAGATAGAAATAGAGATATATCTATCTTATATATGTATTATATGGCTATATAGAGCATAGTTTTATATATAAAGCATGGTTTTATAGATATATGTAAAAGCACAAGAGCAGCCAAAACACTGTTTAAAAGGCTGCCAGGTTTGAAAGGTGCCATCCCATATCAGTGCTGCACACTCAAAGATCCCCTAAAATCTTGGGCAAGTAGTTAGACCAGAAAGAAGCTGAAAACTGAAGGCTGCATTGGTACCTAGGCTGCTGGCCTAAGACAAGCACTGGAAATGGGGTTGGCAAATGATTCTTGATCTCTGTCCCTAGGCAGGCTGCAAGAGTCGCATATGACTGTCCGAAGGGCCTCTCTCTCCACTGTTCTGACCCTGTGTTTTCATTTATTGAACTTGTTGAAGAAAACACTCATTTTAAAATAGGTAAAAATAGGATTCAGAATCACATGACATCAGAGAGCGCTCTACCTCTGACGAGCCTTTTGGCTCCTGGTTTAGGTTCCTTCAAAGTAGAAAAAATACTCATTTACATTTTCCCAGCTCAGCCACCACTCAGATAAATCAAACTATTTCATCACCTGTCTAATGAGGACACTACTCTGATCTATTTGTTACTGTGTAATCAAACGCACAATTTTCTTTATGAAGCCACAAATTTCACAAGCACACAACCATAACGGTCCATTTCAATGAAGTAAAAAATCAGTAACAAAAGCAATGCAGGAATTAGGACCGTTGTCTACTCTGATTTTTGAACAGTCCTGAGGTGCAGTAAAAAAAGTTGGAAACTTTTACACCCAGCCCATCTCAATGCATAGTCACCATTCAAAGCATTTCAGTCCAATTAGCAAAGCCTGAAGACTCAGTATCTAAAAACTGTAGGTCCATTAAAAGAACCAACCATCTGAATCAGTGATTTTTACAAGCAATTTTGACTTAATAATTCAGATCAACATCTCTTCCTCTCAGAAGGCTCCTAAGCTCTCAGATGGGATAGCACTGAAATGAGAAGTATGACCAGCTAATCCCAAACCCCTTGTATAACTAAGATATTTAAATGGCTAAAATGTCCCTAACATGGCTCTTCTCTCTCATTCTGTGGTTGAATTGGTCTTTCTTAATTAAAAAAAGAAAGAAAAAACAACTTGGTTCCCCTTCACTGATGTGAAATATTTCTTCAGCAGCGTGACCAACCTCACATCAACTGTATTTCTGGAAAAAGCACTAAAAGAAATCTGAATGGGATTTGCTCAACACTGTTGGGCCAAATTCTTCCTTCAGTAAAATCCATACTACACTACTGACTTTGGCAGACCATTTTCTTTAGTCTACTTCCACCACTTAAGGGCAATCAAAAGTTAGTGGCAGTACCTGGATGACAATGAAAGGGAAAGAAAAGGCCACAATTTGTCATGGATGCACTGAAAATGACTATAAAAATTGGAAGAGAGAGGTAATAAATTTCAAGCAAGGCGGGTTGCCTTATTGAGGCCAAAAAAGGTTAAGATTTTAATCAGCTATACACAGGAAAACTCAGTGTTTGTAGCTGCACGGTAGCCAATATGCTATTTCCCATTGCAACGGCAATACAGCACTCTTTCATGCAGCAAACAGAAGACTGGTAAATATTTAAAAGACAGCCAAGAAGGAGATTAACACACATAATATCTAAGTTTTATAATTTCCCAGAGTCGGTTTGCCATCAGTGCCAAAATTTAAAGCCAATGCAACTCAGGAACAGTCTGGGTTTTAACCGAATGGCAGTTCCATCAACAGCTGGCTATTCCTTCTATTTAAGGTCTTCCCGTAAACCCTTCGGAGCCAGTGACCTGGGTCAGTCACTAAACCCCAGCATCCCTCAAAAAAAAACAAAACAAAAAAAAAACCCAGCCAAGCTGCTTTATCATCAGGAACAGGAGAAATGCATTTGTCTGCTCCCCAGACAGGTCACTACTCACTTTCTACAGTGGCTCCTTCATTTGGATTAGAGTATCCTTCCCCTTTCTTTTTGATTCTCCGAATGATCCCTCCATCCTCAAATAAGTCTTCCCCTTTGAAATCGAGTAGCTCAATCTGGAGGAAAAAGAAAAAGGAGGAGGGGGTAAAAAGACCTTTAGAAGGAATATCCCTTTCGAGAAACAGAGAAAAAAAAGACAAAGCAGCAGTTGCTTCCAGAGCTGGAAACCCAAATAATCCTGTCTCCTTTCAGCTGACGGGCAAAAGAATCCCATGAAAGCCAGTTCTAAGCAATGGCATAATAGGTTCAATTTATTAAAAACTGGAACGTGCCCAATACCTGAAAAGTAACATGAAGTCAAAAATAACACTAGGAGTTATTCATCCTGCAAGGGGAGGACACAACACAGCAGTGGGAGGCACTGTGAAAGTTGCCCTAAAGATGGACCAGGCTTTGTACCACAGTTTGCTGACAGCAAAGCTACCACACTGAGGTTCATGGATCTCCAAGGAAAGTGCCTGCAGCCAGAGCTGGGAGGATCTGAACCTTAATTAACTGAAGATCTGTTTCTTCTGTTGTGATTTGCACCAAGCCTTTTATTTGAAAGCTTTTGCCAAATGAACACATCCACAGCGCACAGTTTGGCACGGAGCAGGCATTGAACGGCCAACACTCATTTTCATGTGGCTCATGGGTGTTAATGGATTTTTATAATGTGAAAATGTTGCTGAGCTGCAACTTCCCCAGTATATTTTTGAACTTTTATTTCCACTTTTTGAATTGTTGAGAAAGTCCATTCTGTATCTGCTTTGTCTGCTTCCCGCATGCTGCCCCACAAGACCTCTTTCCTAGGTTTTGCAGTTTCAGCTGCTGTTTGGGCACAGGCTCTCCAGCTCAGACATGCATTTCTGAGAAAGCCTTGGCACAAGTCCCTGGAGATGTCGGAAAACCTTTCAAAAGTCCAAGTTGCTTGCTGAACTAGATTTCAATGGCAAGTCACAAGGCAGGGTGGGGAGCAGGGCATCCTCCTCTCCAGCCCTCCAGTCCCACACCAACATCTTCCCACATACTTGCCTCAAAAAAGAGAGTTGCATTGGAGGGGATTTTCGGGGTGCTACCAGCTGAGCCATATGCATACTCTGGTTTACACAGTAAGTGGCAGATCTCTCCTTTCTTCATGGTGGCAACACCGACATCCCATGCCTTGATTACCTGGCCTAGAAGAAAGTCATACTTTAATATAAGGGAATGATGTACATCAAACTTGGATAAAACAAACCTGAAATGCAGTCTATGTTATACTTTGTTGTATTCATACGTTTTGTCCTGCTGTCGTCATTAAGCCATTACCAAAAGCATCAATAGTTGAACCACCATACAGAGTCCATCATACTCAAGTGTAAGGACTTACACTTGGAGTGTCATGCTCTGCAGGCCATGGCGGGACGATTTAAACAGCATGGTCATTCATGCACATCAATTTGGAGATTCCCTATGACAGGGGGTGGGCAAAAATGCAGCCCCGCAGGGCAGACGTGGCCTGCCAGGCCATTGTACCTGGCCCATGGGGCCCCTAAAAAATTTAGAAAATTAATATTTATCTGCCCCTGAGTGCCTGTCATGCAGCCCTCGATGGCTTGCCAGAACTCAGTAAGCATCCCTCCACCCAAAATAATTGCCCACCCCTGGTCTATGACCTCCTCCACACTGGTGGAGAATGATTACAGCCCGGCAGCCACAGAGGGCAGCTGCACACCATCTGCAAATGAACTTGCAAGGCAGGCACTCTTACAATCAGAGACAGATAAACCAGGGGACCTGCAGTAACAGCAGAGAAGGACCATGTCACTAAGCCGCTCCTCTAGCATCCCAGCACCCCAAGTTAGATAGATGGCTTTAAAGAAACATCACTATTCTGAGTCTGGAAAATGGTCAATGGAAAGTGGAGTTGAGAAGGGCTGGAGCTACAAGCCATTAGAGAAGCAGAGGTTTCCATTCTATAAATTTAAAGAGCCATAAAAAGGAACGCAGCCTTAGCGCTAATAAGAGTGGCCCTTAGTAAATGGAGTCCTTAAATTGAGAAAGCCGTATTTTTAATGAAAGCCATATGTCTCCCAAACAAATCGCCTTTGTTCCCAACAGGACACAGAGCAAATGGAAGGTTGAATTTCATTTGTCTAAGTGTAATCAGGAGGCAGTACGACGCCCAAAACAAACTACCTTCAAGATCTGCTGACAGCCATTAGGAGCTTTGAAAAAACAAACTTTCTATTTAGAAATTAGGTCTTGATATTTGAAAGTCAGCAAAAGTACACGGATTTCCCTCCCTTTTTTTAATTATTAGTGACATCTGTCTGACCACAGGAAGTTTAAACCTTTTGTACAAGAGACTTCATCAGTTATTAGGAGTCTAGCTGGATGCCACAAAGTTTCCTAAACTGCAAGAAATCCTGGCAAATCAAACCCCGTCACAACCAACATACAGTACATTTTAAAATGTTTTGCAACCAGCCATAACGATGCACGGATCAGGAAGGGGTAAAGCGGCCTATCGAATTAGAAGGGAAGGAAATGTAAATTCTGCCAACAATGGAGCTATACGTGAACATACGCTGGAGGCCAAACTTTCAAGAATGAGCTTTATTTTAAAGGACTTAGTCACTGATGCAGAGATGCTGACTACAAATAAAAGTGGCTGACTTAATGAAAGCTGCTAGAGAGTTTCATCTCTGAAAACCATAGTGTAGTTGCCCCAAGTTGAGTGAGCAAAAAAAAAAAAAAAAAGGAAACACTTGAAAATTTGAAATGGGCTCAACAGCTGAAGAGCTGAGCGAGAAGGACAAGGCGGCCAGCTTGCCCCAGTCAAACCACACGCTGGCAGCAGAACCGGGATTTCAACTTCAGCCATCTCTGACAACAGGGTGACGTACAAGCTAAGTGCTCTGAACCCAAGTAAATCTACTTTGGTCTCCAGAGTCTCTGTTCCTGCTCCACTCCTTACCTTTCCCCAGACTGAAGATAAACGGCTCATTCCTATCCCGGCTGGAGTCAAATTTTTTCCCATTTGCCAGCTTTCCTTTGTAGTGGACATACACTTTGTCTCCAATCATAGGGGACGCATCCTCGTTTCCCTTTCTCTTCACAATCTAGGAGAAACATGAATGACTAGGATGAAGATGGTAGGAGCTGTTATCAATGAACAGGCTGCTTCAAGTGATCAGCTTCCAAGGCTCTTCAACTTCAGGCAAGCGCCCAAATCCAGGCATTGGCACGCAGCTAAATGCTGCTAGCACAGCTGGTTTTGCAACAGTTCAGGACACTTTTAACAAAAACCGTAATTGTTGGTAATATAATATGGTGCTGGTACGCAAGCCTCATCCTAATGATTGTTCCAGCTGCCCAAAGCACCTACTCCTTTTCCCTTCTATCCACCCAGCCCCCAGAACAAGTCCTTTAAGCGCAGCATAAAAGCCAACAGAAGCACAAGAGCATAATCCTGTTTTTACCATGTATCTATTCAATGCAATTAGTAGTGCTGATGCAGCAGTTAAAGTAGGATTGTTGAGTTTGCCCAGGGAGTCATGAGGACAGATTTTTTTCCTGACAACTCTGAACCTCCAGCATATTTTATAGCAGTTTCCATGGTTACCCAAGGATGCAGATTCTGCCCCCAACTGACATGCCTATTTCAGCAACTACGATAATCAGATCACCCGATCAATGCTGTCTTCCAGCTGGCTATCACAATAGTCTAAAGAGGGAGAAACTTAAGTTGTCATAGTATTGCTTTGTTGTTGTAACCGTTTTGGAAAAAACAAAAAAGCATTGGTTGTCTCCATCATATATAGGTCTCTCAGGCCTTGATACAGAAATCTGTACATGCTTCAAAATTTAGGAAACTAAAAGTCAATAAAATAATATTTACTTGCTGTCCATGTAACGACACAGTCGCAGGGTAAAAAATAAAGTAAAAATCACTCACTTCTGGTCAATGCTCTTTGTATGCTACCGTCTGGAAAAAAAGCAATTCTTAAGCCAAGGGCGGGGTGAAAGCGGGAGTAGATACCACTGGGGAAAAAATGACATTCAACAAGAGAGGACTGCGTGCTAATATACAGCAGAACTATCCAGAATTGGCTTTCAGAAGGAAAAGGGGACTGCATAGTAGACTAGATGACCTAAGTAATATGCTTGTTTCAATATATCCAACTGCTATGAGTCATATACAAAAATGCTGTGTGGATGCTCTGCTAAAAATATGATGAGGCGCAACACAGCAGGGCAAGTCAGAGAGAAGGTTGATTATCTGTACACAGTTTTGATCTCAGTGCCATTGGTCCTCCAATTTTGGAAGGGGTTTGGGCATTCAGATTCCTAAGATGGCTTGGAAAACGCCAGTCTTATTGTGTTGGCAGTAGTAAGACAACCCAGGCCACTAACGTTCAGACAGTTAACAGATGTGGGCATGCTTCAGATCCACCACATTAGGAGAGCAGCCATCTAAATGCATCACTGCTTCTCCGACGGCCTCACCTTGAGAACGCCTCGATCTTGATTGGGTGTGATATCCTCCCCTTGTTCAACAAGAGCTGCCGTTTGGGCATCTCCTTCACTCTTTGTAGCTTCATCGGTTGTCATGGTCTCCTTTCATAAACTCAGCACCTGGCAAAACACATACAAACTGAAATTCATACATCCATGGGTCTACATTCCCCGATGGCACCTAATCGAAGACCTCCAGGCAGAAATGATATGAAATACTTCAGAAAAGCAAATGAGGAAACTTAGGGATAAAGTTCTTCCTCTTCTTCTGAGCAAGAAAGGAAAAGCTATCAACATGCAACCGATCTGCAGCGTGCAAACGAGACCATTCCTTCCTATGGGAGACCAAAGCCGAGACCTGCTAGAAGAGGAAAGAAAAGGACTTCAGCTCATGCAGGGAGACAAGGCTACATCTTTCTGTTTGCCCACTGAGTCCTGCTGGCATCCGGGAATTTCTCGTACTGGCTGGTTGGTAAGGCACAGTAACAACGAAAACTGGCCTGAAGAACCAATGTGACTTCCTGACCACTTCAATATCCTTTGTACTTCTGTGTCTCTGATCTATCCCTGCTAAGATATCTTCCATCTAATAGAACTGCTTAAAACTACCCTGGTCTCAAGTCCTCCTGTTCCATCGCTGCAAATCAAACATTATGCCATTACCAGTCGATGGGCCATGCCAGGAAACACACACAGCTGAGAGTATCGCTATTGCCTCTTGGAAGGCTCATCTGCTCCGAGGGAGGAAAAGGGAGTCTCAAGCAAGCAGCCCCCAGACAATTCAGGGCTTAGAAGATTCCCTACTAACATGCTGAAATAAACCCAAGCGGAGCAGAAAGCCAGCTAGCGCAGAGGTGCAAGCACTGCAAATATGTGCCTAAAGGTGTCTCACTCAAGCCAAGCTGTGTTCTGCATCTGTAAACTTTAGAGCAACACCACTAAAGCAGCGCTGGTTATGATAGATAAGAGGCAAGCAGGAAGGTGACAAAGGCATGAGTGACAGTTTTAGCCTTTTGACTAATCAGATACAAGAAATGCCACTGCCAGTCTCAAGAGAGGAACTGGATCATTTTGGACCAACCTGGCATTCTTGTGGCCGCAAAGCGAGATGATCAGCATCAAGCTTAGTTGTAAGGATCCAGAGCTTCAAAGAAGGCTCCTTCATTCCCTAAAACTGAAACTCCTCTGCGTGCAAGTATATGATCTGCACACGACCAAAATCCCTGTTATCCACCGGTCAAATAAGCCATCCCCTCGGAGGAATGCCGAGGGTTCACACCGCCCCTTCTGTGCCTGCTATTTCAAAGGGCTTGAAGCGCACCTCGTTTTCTTCATTAACCCTTTCAAAACCAAAGTGGGCACGTCTATGCAAGCTGCTTCGAGCGCAGAAGACTAATTCTACTGCACGTGAGCGCAGCGGGCAAAATCTGTGCTAACGAGCAGGAGAATTTGTCTACTGCGCATTAGTGTCACCAAAAAACTGCGCGGGCACTAATGCACAGTAGCATGGACTATGGTGCATTAAGGTAGTACCTGCAATTACAGATACTAAACTCAATGCGCAGTAATGATCGCGCATTACTGAACATGCAGATGCACCCGGTGTGCATCTTATTCTGCGGCGCGTTACATGCAAGGAAATATGGTACACGAGGTGGCTAAGTCAGGACTGGTGATGGTGGTGGGGAAAGCCTCAAGTATTATTACCGGGTTTCATCACCCCCACCACCCCAAAAAACAGAAAGACAAAGTCAGCCACAAGAGAGTCACATGGGGCTCTGCGGGCAGTACAGACCAATAAGTTTGGGGCTCTTTTCATTATTAACCTTCTGGCTTCCAAGCCCTATCTGCTCATTTGTTCAACGTTTCTCCTGCAGTCATGAGGAATAAAAGCACTTGTTTAAAAAAAAATAATAAAAAAAGCTGAACTTCTTATTTATGTGCAGAATGCCAAGAGCTGGTAAAATAGGGGGAAAAACCTACCCAGTACTCAGAGATTTGCAATAAAATCATGACAGTTGGCAATACTGGGAGAGAGCTACAAGGATGAAATGTAAATTGTTGTGCAAAACTACAGGCAACATTGCAATGACAAGCTCTTGAGGACTCCTTGCACAACCGGTGAAGGCATGGAAAAAGGCCATTCTGTCCATCACAGCCAGACATATTTTATAAATGTTGCCTGGTGAAATAAGAATTGCCTGAAGTTTTAAAAATATTTCCTGATCATTTCCTTAAAAATCATAGGATTCTATTTTGGTGGCTGCACCGCTCTGTTCTGCGTAATCAAGGAAACAGATGACGTCCAATTGAAAGTAATGATTTTTAGACATTAAACAGATCTATTAGAGCAGTTACAATTGCAAAACTTTCTCATAGCCTTTGGTGTTGAGGTTAATGTAAGCCAGCAAGAGAAATTACTCAGGCAGCGGCTCATAAACAGAAAAGAAAGGATGTTTTTACTTAAAAGACAGATTAAGTCATGCAGTCAGAAGACTTACATTTATTACACCCAGCTTTCAAAGGGGAACAGTTGTCTTCGAACCCAAAGTAACACGGGAAACTGAGTAGACACAAAGGGCTATGAATGCATGAAGTAAACAGTGAAGTCAGGAACATTTTTTTTCTGCAATTTGCAGTTGCCATAACCTTAGGTGTTACATTTAATAGCACTTTGTGTCTACTTGGTTCCCCTGTTAGAAGTAGATTTCACACTTTGCAACAGTGGAGAGGAAGAAAAACATCTTTAAGTGTTATAAAACCATCAACTCCAGCAAAGAGATTTGGTGGCAAGTATTAATACAATTACTTTAACATAATTTTTAAACTCATTACATTCCTAATTGATAGCATCCCTTTAGAGTTCTCTTTTCCAATTATATTAATCTTCACACTATGCATCTTTTAAGAAATATTTTGGGCGATACATCCGCAAAGCCTCAAAGCAGCAATTAGGGCAAAGCTACCTCAACACATCTTTTTTACGTTTTTAATTGGGAAGAGGTTTGGGGTTGTTTTTTTCCCCTGTTTGGGGTATTATTTGCCAGAAGCTGTATTCTGGGTCCCCTCTGTAACTATGGATATTAATCCTCTGATAAAGATGACAGTGAAAAAAAGTGTCAACTGTAATGAAGTTTTTACAAAACACTGTGCTTCTGGTATAAGGTGGCCTTGCAAATATATCAGCCAGGTACAAAAATAAAACCTAATTTCCTATCTCGTTGCATGAAAATTGGGACCACTCACTCCACCCACCCACAGAAAACAGGACGCTACTTTACTCACCTACCGAAATGAGTTAACAATGAACCCCAGTGCCTCCCCAATTCCCCCCACCAAAATTCAGTTAACCTATATGATTTGCCCACTAACACGAGCAAGCCGGAGGCATAGTCAGGAATCAGTCTTATGCTTTAAATCAGCAGACAACATTTCCACAAGCTCACCATGCTTTTCCATGGCTCTGACCAATTCCTGTCACAGCAGAAATAGGCACTATCCTATTAGCTAAACAACAGCATCATTATCCAGGTAGCTCCCAAGACCAAACCCAGTTGAACCAAGGCATGAGGGTTTGAAAGGGGGGACCACTTGTTAAAGCAAGCCCTAATACCAACCTCTGCAGTAGTCTGAGACCTGCCTAGCCTCAAAAAGGATCAGCTGCTTGGTGCTGGAGTTCCCAAAGCGCGGCCAGAGGACTTCCAGGGTCCCATGTGGCAGTCGCCGGTCGGTGGCCTGCAAAGAACCGGCTAGTCAATGCATGCTGGTTCTCCTACTTCCAGCTGCTAAATCACATTTAGAGACAGCTAAAAATACATTAAATACATCCTTGGAATTATTTTTCTATGCAAGCAATTACCGTAGTCATTACAGGGATGTTCTCCAATTGTGAGTGGGAGGTGGTCTGCGTCAGAGCAAGTGGGAGGGAAAGTGCCCACAAGACTGTCTATTAAAATGTACTCTGTATTATGAAATAGCTCGAGAACCTTTGGCTAGAGAAACTCTAGCTATAAAGCAAGTCTGCTCTGGTCAGACGTATTTACAGTTCTATAGCAGCTATTCCAGAAACATCGACGTAGCCTGGATGGCTAGAATCCACACTTTCAATTCATTTGAAGCAACAGGTGGTAGAAAGATCTGCCACTCACTGGGTGCATCTACACGTGCTATTCATGCACCTGAATAAAGTCTGGCACAATTCGCACTGGAGTTTATTGCTTCCAAGTGCAGTATTTACATGTGCACCTGGGACCGCAGCATGTTGAACTGGATCGGAGCAACCCCAGCTGGCAGGGAGCCCTGGGGGTCAGCCTGCCAGCCTGGGGCTGCTCCAACCCAGCTCCACGTGTTGCGGAAAGGCTGGCTGGGGCATGAGGGTGCTATGGTGCAGGGCTAGCCGGCCGGCAGCCCCCACACTGTAGCACCCTCATGCCCCAGCCAGCCACAGCAACAGCCTACCCATGAGTTTTGGAGCATTACATAACTCCACTGTCCCTGACAGTACTCTCCTACAGTGGAGTTAATTACTTTACAGTGGCCTAATAGCGCTGCATGTGTAGATGGTGATGCTTTACTGAAGAGCTAATTAGTCAACCCTGTAGTAAAGTGCATGTGTAGATGAACGCTACTGAAAATTTAACCAAGTCTTCTGGCAGGGAGAAACATGAACTCTTGTAAGGATTCTTGTACAGATGTCAAAGCCTGACATTTCTTTTTGTACGAACAAGTGTGCTCTGGCTAAAAGAAGGGACTTAATTATCTGATACAAAGGCAACTGGCATACCCACCAGGTCCTGCCCTCTCACGGTTTGATTAGAAGACTTGCATGTTGCTATGAGAGAGACAGGAGGTTAAATGCAAAGGAGATTGTCAAAAATATTCCTTAAATATAAAAATCATAAATAAAAAGCAAATAAAATAAGAGCAATCCTGCTGCTTCTAAACCATCTGCACACCCCGGCAGAATAACACTGGTGTTTTGCTCACTGTACCACGCATCCTAAGGTGTCATTAATTTTAGGGCCATGTTAATATGGGGGAAGGAGAAGGACACAACAGGTGCAAGGGAAGGGTTAATTATGTTATTTGCTGTGAATATCTGCATCCTAAGACCCTGACTCAGCAAAGCACGAGCCTATTAAAGGAACATCTTGTCCCACATACTTAACATACGTGTTTAAAGGCCACCGAATTAAGAAGGATTTATGCACATGTTCAAAGTTATGCACATTCTCAATTGGAAAATAAATTTAGATGTCACATAGTATGTCAATGTGTTTCATTCTCCCATGCATTGAATAAGATCAGAAAGGTGCTTTTTTCTTTTTTAATGTGAGGATGTTTTGGAGTTAGAGACCTTCAATTTTGAAACGCTGTCTAAAATAAAGACCTGACAACCTATGAAAAAACCTAACTTCATGTTTATAGCTTAGCTTATAACTAACATAATGTCTTTCCCCCCAAACACACATGCCCCAATCAACTGGTTTAACAAACTGTTGAACAAATTGCTTCCTGTTGGGAATACAAACACAAAGCTGTTAACATTCAACAGCCTTTGCAAGCCAAAAAAAAAAAAAAAGGAAGGGGGCTTACTTGCTTATTTTTAATTATTAACGATTCACCAATGTAATAAATTATCTGAAAATTTAACAGGACTATGTAATTGGTAATTTATGAGCTACAATAAAGAGGGTTTAAAAGCCAAGACAAATCTCAGACCTAAACATCTGGATGCTATTCGTTCTTCAAGTGTGACTATATATTCATAACGGGATATGAAACGCAGTAAGAAACTGCCTAACTGAACTGATCAAAACAAACCAGGAATGAAGGCTCTCCCTCTGCATCTGAATTAATCTGCTGTGTTTCGCGGGTGTATCACACGCTGAACATGAAGCAAAAACACACACTAATATCTTGCGTGGTGAGCTGAAGCAGCAACAACGTTGTACAAACTATAGGTTTTCATTGTCAGCTCTTCTGAATAAATGGGAATTCTGAGAGCTGCTCGAAAGCAACGTTTCTCCAGCTTTTATCCTGGCCAATCTGTTGTTTCCCCAAACACAATCCAGCACGTCAGTGCGAGCGGTTGAAAATATGGGCTGATTATTCATTGAACAGTACCGAGAATGACAGTAATCAATGCATCCAGGCAAATGAAGCAGCCCACAGCGTACATCGATTACCAGCCTGCGTTCATGTGCGCAGCAGCCAAAAAATCCAGGCGCCCAAACGAAAAGCTCTTCTGATCTGGACTTTACAACAGCTGTATGAACAGGAGGGAATTTCAACTTTTTTGCTTTAAAAACCCCCCAACCAAGCAGTTCTTATAAGGGCTACAAATGCCGATTTTCAGCTCTGAAGCAACTTTCTGGAATCCCCTCCATCTCTAGGATCAGCAGTTACAAGCCATTTTAGTTTTGCTCTGCACTTTGATCACTTCTCAAACTGCCAAAAGACACTGCCAGATATGTGGCATCACAGAGGCGGTCACGGAAAGAACGGCAATCTAGGAAATATCAGGGAAGCTTCAAGTTGTTTCGTCTCCGGCCACCCCCTCATTGTGCATTTCAAACGCAAATCGTTCCTGCAAAATGATAGTTCACTATAAGCTATTTGCATGACATGGATGTTCCTAACCCCGAATCCTAAAGAAACAATATTAAATTCAAAGCAGAGAACAGGATACAGCTGTCTAATCTACTGTGCACAGCCAGCCAGGTATCGCACCGACACGCTAGGATTTAAAAAAAAAACAAGCCCTGATTCACACTTCCTAGAAATCAGCAGCCCTCAAATTCCAATTGGAAACTTGAGTTTGTAAATCTCTCTTGGAGGTTTGCATGAGCTAAAAGAAAGGACTTTGTGTTAAAAGAGGGGGAAAAAAAAAAAGGAACAAAATGTCTAGCCATAAAAACGGATTTAATAGTTGAAACTGTCTGAAGAACAATGGTCTTCTATGGGAGGGAGAGGGATGATAGACACAATGGGAATTTCACAGCAAGCTGACAAAGGCTAAATAAAAATAAAATTCACCCAATTCTTTAGCCTATATCACAATTTATTTTTAAAAGGGCGAGCGAGCAGAAGGCATAGCCACAGATATATTCTAGCAGGGGGGGAAATCACTGTTTGAAAGCAGGCAAGTAATATGTCCATCACAGAGCAGTAGAAACACACAGCTTTATTTGCTGCTTCTTTGCAGCACTATTAAATAAAAGGCATTAAACCCTTAAAAAGGTCTTTGATTAGCCAAAACATTTGGGACAATGGCTGTAAGCCACAAGATGGATACAACTGAAAAATAGGAGCTGTTCAAGTTTTGCTTTAGATTTTTGACAACACTTTTGTGCAATCCCTTTCACCTTTTCCCCTGAAGAAACTTTGCCCCGCTGCCATAAAACGCTATCCCTGAAAATACTGTTGCACAGCACCCTAGGAGACAAACTTTTTTACCCAAAAAATCAGATGGTGAAAGCACAAAAGACCGGAAGAGGGCATCTAAAGCAGGACATCGAGCTATATTTTTTTTTGACTAAATTCATATAGGGTTGCTTTTTAAGGCCATAGCCAGATCCATTAGCAGAGTAACCAGAGGCACTTATTGCCCATCAAATAGCACTCCACTGATTAAGCAGCTGTATGTTAATTAAATAATAAGGAACAAAATAGGTGGATGCAACAGCATGAAGTTTCTTTCCATGTTTTAATGTGTCCTTGCTTCCCTTTGATTAAGAAAGCCAATAAAAAAAAAAAAAAAAATATTGACCCACCAAAAAGTTTACACACAACAGAGGACAGGAAGGATAAAAAAAAAAAAGTCTTTTCCTTGTAACAGATTTTCAAATGCCTGCAATTCAGTTCTTTCAGTTAATTCCTCCTTACAGTGAAGTCAGAATTTGATGTTGTACTTGGTAGCCCATTACAGTTTTTTTCAATTTGAAAACCTGACACTGGCTCTCTGTCGTCCAATCTGAGCTAGACAGCTGCAGGGTTTCAAATCTGTATTAGAACAACAAAAATGAAATAAAGAGAATAATCTGCACTCTGCCTGGTTGCCATTAGGCAAAAGATTTTTCCGTTAGCTTGGCTGTGCAAATCTGATAAAAAGAAATCTTTAGTGCTGTATTACTTCATTAGTCATTTATTTTCAGATCTGACTCAGTTCCCAAGAAGGCACATAATGTTCTTCCTGAAACCACTTCAGAATTAGACACACAAAGGCAGCTCCAAATAAACTTCACTTCAATCCCAGACATGCATCTGCCCAAACGTTACATCGAGGCCTCTATAGAAAATAAAACCAAACCTTAAAAAAAGACTATTTTTGGAGCTCCATTTCCCTTTCCTCTAAATCTTTAATCTCTAAGATATCTCTAAGTCAGATAAAAAAAAAAATTCTGTGAAAATAATGCAATTAGTCAGATCTGTCATGTTAGAACATCAGAATTTGAGTCAAAAGAACCCAGAGATTTGCATAATTTTCATCCTATGCAATGTTTACATTTTTCTTGTTCTTGAAAGGAAGAGTAGATATGAACATAAAGTTAGCACCGTCTTAATAAAGTCTGCATAGATTTACTTGCTTTTAATGCAGGGAGCTAACAAATGCACCACACTCACAGTAAAATCATGATGACAATCAAAATAACTTGTGTGCCTTTTTTTTTTTTAAGCGAAAGTTGCTGTGTACATTGCTGGACCTTACTTGCTAAATGCACAGTGTAAATTATGACTCTCTGGGTGCATCTACATGTCCACTGTTGTACGGAGTTGACTAATTAACTATGCAATAAAG